CGCACCGCCCCGTCTCCCTCACCGACGCCTCCATCCGAATCATTGACAAAGTGATCCAATTGACCCTTAACACTCATATCAAAAAGGTCCTTAGCGGACTCAACATCTCACACATACCCGGCGAACGCCTGGAACGCGACGCCCTCTCTATGGTCGAAGTGGCGCGCTACTGCCACACCCGCGATGGCGGAGCCGTTGCATGCCTTGATGCCCAGTTTGCGTACGATCGCACTCGAATCTCTTTCCTTAAGCTCATCCTCGAGGCCATGAAGTTTCCAGCCTCCTTCATCAACATCATTAATACGCTCTACGATGACAATTGGGCGCGCCTCAAGGTCAATGGTCACATTGGCGACGCCTTCCGCAAGACCAACGGACTGCTACAAGGGCTCCCGAGCTCGTGCCCCTTGTGGAACATCTACATCGAGCCGTTTGTCCGATACCTCCACGCCGATCCCAACATCTCGGGCGTCACCATCCCCGGCGAAATGGGGATTGGTACTACAACCCTGAAGGTCGCAGCCTTTGCTGACGACGTCAAGAGTTACTTGGCCAATATGACCGAGGTCGAGTACCTCACCACACGAGCGGACGCCGCCCGACCTGGCTACTCTTACGCAGCCGGTGACGGCCCACTCGCCGTCTGGTACGGAGCCTCGAGCCAAGTCAACAGCGTGAGCAAATTCACTATCGTCCTGCTCGGAACCATGATCCACGCACAGCGCCCTGCTCACCTAAAAATTAAGGAGTGGGTCAGGTACGGCCTCGATGAGGCGGATAAAAATCTTGGACTCCGCATGGGCACCACGGAACAAATCGCAGCGCAATGGGAGAAAATGCACCGCGTGATCGAGCAGCTTGCCACCGATGTCACTGCGGGCCGACGCCTTGCTGGCTCGGTGTATGCACGAAGCGCACTCGCCAAAGGCGCCTTTGCGTCGAAAATGTTTCACACCTTCAAAATGCAAGCCCCATGCGCGGCGACACGCACGATCGTCTTCCGTAACATTCAAAAAGTGCTCAACCAGCTCGTCTTTGGCAAGTTCTTTCAAATCCGTACCGACACGGCACAGCAACCTTACAAAGATGGCGGCGTGTCCCACTTGCATGTGGAGCGCCGGATGAAGGCCGAGTGGGCCATGCTTGCAGCCCAACTCGCAAACAACGAACCCGCCCCCTGGAAAAACATCTGGTGGCACGGGATAAGAGACGCATACGGGCCCCTGTGCGACGAACGAGACCTGGTGCACACCACGTGCCAGTTTAAACTCCTGCAACTCAGCAAGGAACCATCTCAAGTCCAACAGCTGGCGATAGCAGCTTGGGCGGAGCTCGACAAGATTCCGGTCTTCCTTGGACCGCCACCTACCACACCAGCGGGTCGAAAACGGCGAGCCGATGCCCTTGCGCTGGCACAGTACGATGGTGATGATTCCCCACCAGCAACCGTGCCAATCTGGCAAGAGGGCCTCCGCGGTGACACCACAGGAGCGACGGTCGGCCGACAGCGCCTATGGTTCAACGTGAGCCTAGTAGGAAGTTCAACGTCGCATATACACACCCCCAGCCTCACGCACGATGCCGCTACCATTGAGCGGGAAGCCATCCGATGGGCAGAAGAAGGCCTATTAAGATACGCAGACGTAACCCAAGGCACAAAACTCCAAGGTATCCGGAGCTTTCAAACACAAGTTCCGACCCTCGACCCGGATGTGTACCTCGGCATCCGAACCTCGATACCGCCCCAATGGGAACGAGCGATGAAGGACGGAACGGCTGCCCAGTGGGGGCAAGACCGTCTCCCGACCGACCTACTCGGCGACGGGATCCGTGCTGACAGCACCAGTGCCCACGCAACCGCAGCAACAGGCCCGCAGCAGCATATCGGCATCCGATACGCAGGCACCCTGATACAACGCTCGGTCACCCCACTGCTCAACCTGCGCCTCAAACATGTTTATACAGCGATGACGGCCAATGCGTTCACGATGCCACGAGTGGTCGACGCCGCCCAAGGCCTAGCGGCGCGCCACCTGCACCTTTTCGAACACATCCCGGACGCCCACCGCACCGGAGCGATCGCCCGAGCTGTGCGTCGCATTAAACACCCGGCGCTCCCCCCCGAGTTTACGGAGACGGCATTCTGCGTTGCATTCTCCGGATTCCCATTCGGACCAGAAAAAGGAAAAATGTGCGGTCGCCTCACGTGCCCCTGCAACTCAGGTGCTACCGAGACCGTCGGGCATACCTTCCACACATGTCCCAGATCGATGCGGCTCTGGGAGCTCGTGCTGTCCTCGTGGCGAGACGTAACCGGGGAGAGTAAAATTAAACCAACGGACGGACTAGTCGTCCTGTTTGGAGACCGTAGCGGTACTTGGCTTGATGAAGCTGAACAAGCAGAATTTGCCGGCCTTGAGGAACCTTTTGCGGTCATCCACAAAATCACAATCCACACGATCCTACAGGAGCGTAATAGGGATGCGGCACCCAAAGCCAAACAGAGGCGCTCACCTACGGTCCTGTTTCAAAAAATTCAACACGTTGTACAGCGCGTCGCGAGTTACCGATGGGGTCAGGCCCGACGACAGCAACCATTCGATCAGGGACACGCAATGGCCGCCTTCCGTAAACGTTGGGAAGCGCCGGGGATTGCGGTGATCGGTGCCGATGAGCAAGCGATCACCATTATCCTTTTCATGCGCAAAGAGGTGCGCGAACAGTGGCATCGAAGCTCGAAGGGCACTGGCCACTACCGCAGCCAACAACACGCGCCACCGGCGGACCTCCCCCCACTGACGATTTCCATCTTCTCAGATGGCTCAGCTCTGCCACGCAAGATCGGCCAGCCCGCGCCGCCCGCCGGCTACGGTGTGGTTGCAGTGGAAGGCGCCAGCCTTGACGCCATAAACCACGCGAGTGGACGTGCCCTCTTCTACATGTGTGGCCGCGTTCCCCCGGGAGGCGTGGCGACGGCTCGCCTCAAGACCACAACCAATAACCTCGCCGAACTCATGGCATTTACTCGTGGGCTCATCTGGGCCAACTGCCACGCGATCGCACAAATACCCACCATGAGCCGTACACGCCCTGTGTGCATGCGCTACGACTCCACGTACGCTGCTATGATTGCATCTGGCGTCTGGCGCGCCAAAAAACACAAGGAAATGGCCGCGGAAGCGCAACGAGCATGGGCTACGCTCATGAAGTCCACGGCCGGACAACTCTGGATGAAACATGTCAAGGGTCACAGCAACCAACATTGGAACGATTGGGCCGATCGGCTCGCAAACCGGGGCCGCCATGGCATCACATGCTACTCGGCGTGCCCGGTACAGCCATCTCCGCCCAAGGCGGCCGAACCGTGCGTACCACCGACACCGTCGAACGTGCCGCCGATACCGCCGCCGCCGCCGCCGCCGCCGCCGCCGCCGCCGCCGCCGCCCATTCCAATAATGCGATCACGACCGAACCGAGCGCACGAAATTACAGAGT